CATATAGATGAAGAAGGAAGGCGCAGGGAAAGACTGAGTGATTTCCTCAGGGTCATATATGATGTTTTTGTTGAGTAGGGAACTGACTAAAGGCCTACTGAGACACAAAGCACTGCCCTCACCATTGGACAATCCTTCCTCACTAATTTCTATGAAAAAATATTGGGCTTTTCTTAAAAAAAAATACAAACATAAATCATTCATTCCCACTTGCAGCAATATACTAATGCAGGACAGAACCTCTCCTCCCATCTCTCTTTCTTCTTGACTCCCTGACTTTCTCTCTATTCTCTTGGTTCTGCCAGAATATCTGATGGCACACAGGAGCTGTGTGAGTAGACATTAGTCTCCAGAGCATGTGCACACACAGGCACTTTTGGTGGCTCTGTTGGCCTCTGCTCAGCAGCTGTGCTGCTAGAGAATGAACTGCACTCTGGGAAGGTACCAGCTGCTGAATGGACTACAGCAGCCAGGGGAAAGCACATGGAGTATCAATGTGTGCCTTCAGCTAACTGTGGGGCAGTGACAAAAGCCTTAGTTTACCTGGTAGAGGTAGAATAACTGCTGGTACAAAGGAAGGCTCTGCCATGGCAGACAAGCTTTGGGTGAGAATGAAGTCAAGGTTTTGCTACAATTCTGTCAGGAGTAATTTGTAGTGCAGACTAGACTCTAGACCCATGGTTCCCAAGGGGTGTGCCTGGTACACTAGCATGTTGAAAGAGTGGTGGAAGTGGGCTGCACCACTCCTGCACAGAAGGACTGGGGCCTGGCTGGACTGGCCCCATACGGCTGGATGGGGCTCTGGCTGCACCAGCCCCACATGGAAGGATCAGAGCCTGGTGCACCGTGAGCACCACTGAGTCTATGGACCAGATCCTGCCCATGGACTGGTGAGTGAAGTGTGCTGCCAACTTTCATCTGGAAAAAAAGCATGTCTCAGCTATGAAAAATGTGGGAAACACTGCTTTAGGCACTTGTTATTTATAAACTAAAGCCTGTTTTATGCTTGTTATCTGTATTAATTGTATAAGCTAATATACTTAGAGTTATGTGTTTTCAAGACCTACTCTCAGGGAATAAGATGAAAATAGGGAAAATACTATTAACTTCATAGCACATAGTAGGAATGAAATGGAACTTCCGAAGAAACTGTATTAGTGGCAAATATTAGTGACAGATTTAACATCAACTAAGCATTTTAAGTAGTATTTTACACCAAGATACTGTTTTTTCTCACCTTGTGAAAACTTAGGAAATATGATATTACTATTTAAGTAAATCTACTATTAGAATTTCTAAAATGTGTAAGTATATCTAATTGGTACTTACCTTTGTAATTCTGTGCAATGACTCCATAAGATGAATCACCGGAGGGGATGAAACCTCTTCCTTCAGGACACAAATCAGTAAATTCAGCTGGTGGAGGGAGAAACAAAAAACTGTATCAGAAAGCAACAGTTTTTTTATGAATCTAGAAACCAATGCAGATGGCAAAATGTATTACTCTTTTACAGAAGTCTGAGACAACCAACTTATTCCTATTAAGCAACCTTATCTATATTCAGGCCAGTGAGTCTCAACCACGGTGCCATACCCAGGTGCCATGTAATGTTAGAACTGTCAGGTGTGCAAATATGATTCATAAGATAAACCCAGGTATTTTGAATAGGAATCCATAGTATTAAAACACTTTAACCTGGTATGGTCTCTATTGGTGCTTGTACATGTGATGAAAATTGGCTGTTTTTGAGGTTTAATTGTATCACACTATACACTTGCAAAGTTTTTTTTACGATTTAAATTAATTTTGCTACATTGCAAACTAAACCACATCCACATGTAGTTTAGTTTGCAATGTAGCTATTTGTAATGTTGCAGCCTTTGAGAGCTGCAACATTACAAATCATTTTTAATCACTGCAATTAGAAACCCACAGTTTCACTTAAGGGGACTAAACCCCCGTCATGTACAAGCAACCTGTGAACTCTTTGCAGCAGAAGAATTGCTCTATTATTTTTCTGAAATAAAAAAAAAAAGTGAAGACTAAGAGCTGGCATTTTCTGAGGGATGTGCTGAGTCTAAAAAATTTGAGAACCACTGTTTTATATAAATGAAGCAGACTGGAAGGTAGCATAAAGATTCTAGACCTGTCTCTGAATGCGTAAGCTGACATACTGAAAGCAGTCTAGCCATGGCAGGAAAGAGCTTTGATGCACCAGCTAATTTACGCTGCTTATGGCAGTGTAAATTAGCCTGTACCAAACTTTGGGCAGCAACCAGTAGACTACTTCAAAAACTTAAGCTACTCATCTAAATCTGGCTTAGGTATATTATGCCATGGTTTGTAATATAGATGCCAATGCTGCAGCCCAATACTGCAAAATTCTCACTAATTTCAAGGAGAATTCAATATGGACTGCAGCATACAGCCTATAAATGGAATGAATTCCACTGTTGGATATTACATGAAATCAAATGCAAACAAACCCAGCTTACTATTTTCAAGAGTAGAGACACTTCCAAACACACTCTGGTAGGCACAATTTCACAGATTAAAAGATGTGGCTAATGTAAGACTTGAATAAAAAAAAAAGCTTTGGTTTAAAAAGTACTTTTTTGTGGGCTGAAGTTTACGTATGTTCTATCTTGTGTGATTTTTTCCAGCTGGATTCTGACTATTAGCTATCACTGTTTACACAATGTGCATCAAGTACTGGTTTCAACATCTGTAACAAACACCATATGGTTATGCTTTTCTAATTAGTTTTTAAAGGCTAAATAACAGTGTGCAGACAGCAAGATTGACTGCATTATGTAGCATATAGCACAATGTCATGTTATATATCAAGACTAATGTTTCATGTTGCTGTATAAACTAAGCTACTACATGAATGATGACAGAAGCAGCCTCACCTTCATTTGTTACTTTGTAGGAAAAATATAGCTGTAACATTACAACAGCCTTTGACAAAAGCTGGGCTAGAAAATCCTGATTATTTAAAATCATTTGGAGATAATCATTGTCATGGGTGTAACGTCAGTAAAGTTAATGAAGTTACACCAGAGATTGGTTTTTCACATTGACTTGGCAGCAGTGAAAGTTCTGTATAACAAATTAGCAAGCACTGCAAAATATGGTCTTTTACTAGTAAACTCATGTAGCCTAAGGGCACCCATATCTATCATTAGGGCCTGGTCTAAATCACGATTCCATGTTTTTTGTGAAAAGCAAGAAATTAAGGGATTTTCACAAAAAAAATGTAATTTGCAACAAAATAACACGATATGCTGCAAGTGGTCATATTGTGGCATTTCATGGCAACAAGAAGGACCATTAAATGCCATGGAAGGAGTGGTGAGGGGTGACTTATAAACACAGGAGCAGCGCAGCCAGCTGGTAGGGGAAACAGTAGTGGCAGTAGTGGCAGAGCGGAGGAGAAGAATAGCCCCCACCTTCCCTCCACTGCCAGGGTCCCCCAAAGCCCCACTAGCCTTCCCATGAGGTAGGGACGATGACAGCTGCCTCCCCAGCTCCATCTTTGCCCTGCCCTGCCTGGCCCCATGCTTTGGTGGTGGCAGGGAGCCACTGCCCGGCTGGCCTCTCCACACCCTGCAGATGAAGGGTGGCACAAGGAGGCTGGAACCCCTTAGGTGGTGGCAGCTCAAGGATGTGGCCAGCAGGAAGGCGTCAGCTTACTGCTTGCTCATTCTGCCCCCTTCCTTCCCCCAGGGGACAGCTGGGGGGGGAGGAGGGGCTCCGCACCCTCTATGCCGCACACTGGGTGTGGAGATAAGGGGGCAGCCCCTGCTGGAGGAGATGGAGGAGGATCCCTCCCTCCCACCCCTCAGCCCCTGCCCCCGAGCAGCTTTGTGCTGCTGAACCAAGATGCAGCTGGTGGGGGGGAGGAAGAGGCTCTCAGTCAGTTGTGGGGTGTGGTAGGTGGGGCACAGCATGATTTGGGTGTGAAAATGGTGGCCCCTGCCATGACAGGGCCACAATATTACCAAGCTGAATCCACAGTTTAAACCAGGCTTTACCTATCATTAAGCATGGATGCTTCAAAAGTCACAAGTAGATAGAAAATCTTTGCTTACCAGTTCCAAAGACAGGGCAGGGGAAGATTTCACAGTTATCACCCCAGCCAGCACCCAAAGTACAGCAGCATTCTTGTTTGGTAACGTTAGCTGTCAGCACATTATCGCAGAAATTAGCATCGTTTAGATTGTAGTAGCATTCCTTCTTTTCATTTTCAGATTTATCAGCATCTACCGGTAATTCTAAAGATGAAAATAATTCATAAAAATATGTGTCAGATCAATCAGTCTTATAACAGATGCAGGAGAAAAGCAACGGCATGCTGGTGTCATGGTGCCATTTTCCCTCTTGAGGGCTGGAGTCCTTAAAGAAAAAAATACGTAAAACAGTTTTTTTTTTATTCTGAGAAAAAGCAGCAGAAATTCTCAAAATCTTTCTTTCTTTTTTTTTTTTTAAGAAGTTTCCATTTTCAGATCTGGCTGGAGTAAGATTTTCTACAGATAAACAACTGTCTTGTTTAAGCCATGCACGTGCCCCAATCTTTTTATTAATAACACCGAGAACTGACATAGGACTTTTCAGGTGTAGTTCTCAAAGTGCTCCAGAAAGGTGAGGAAACATTATTATATCAATTTTACAGAGCTCCCAGAATACGATAGGGAATAACTCAACAAAACACTGTTACTAACTCAAGAACAAAAAGCAAAATTTTTTTTTGCCAGGCTGGGGGTCAGACTTGAAGATCTACAAGGTCCCTTCCGACCCTACTTCTATGATTCTACGAAAATTTACCAAGCCATAGTTAAAGAGCACTCATTCTCGCTGGAGACAAAAAAAAACAATATCCTCAGAGGTCCTAGAACAAGTCAGTCTAGAAATCTGACCAGCCATGAATGTAAAAGAAACATGCTGTTGAAGCCTACCTAGCTCCAAAACGTGGCTCACCTGACAGCAAGTTTTCACAAAATATTCTCCTCCTGTTTGATTGGACTTTGAGAAACTTCAAGTGGATTTTGTAATGATTTAATAATACTGTATCTTCTCACATGCCACATGCCCCCAAATAAGACGCATACGTTCTTTCTGGAAAGCAGGACGTAGAAAAGAAGATTTTTCAGAGTCCTGGCCTAAAGCTGGCTTTTTTTGTGGAGAGGTTGTGTTGTAAAATGGTTGCCAGCTTCTTTTAGTCAGCAAGCTGAGAGCAGCTGTGAAAAAGTGAATACTGGACTCCATTCCTCCTGCCTGCTGGCTGAAAGAAACTGGTTACCCCTGTGCAGCACATCATCTTCATGCGTCTATTCCAGGGAAGAAAATCAGTTTCCCTGTTTAAGACATGCACCCCAATTTTGGAGGGTTGATTTCTGGGGAAAGGGTGTATGTTTTGCAGTATTTTAGCAAATAGGGTACCTGATCATACCCTCTACATTTTGCATATGCACTCCCCATGATATTGATGTTAAAAACATCACAGATGCTCAAATTTGTTGGTTAAAAGTAAGTGTTCCACTAGGGATTTAAGAATGCAACCTTTTAAGGTAACAAATACATGTTTTCCTATTCTATATACTTTCCTATACAGTGGAAAATTCTTTAGTACTTACAATATGACTACAATTATCTAAAATAATGTAAAAAGGAATTACTCAAAATTACTTCTTGTTGGCAGATTTGCAGGTACTTTGCAATTCAGATTATAATGTAATGTTCCTAGTCTAAGGCATTTTTTAAAGTGTCACAAGTTTCCAGGAGGACGTGAAATCCATATTTTATGTTTGAGTTATAATGCATTTCAAATCGTTATGTGATGTGAGGATTCAGATCAAAGCTGTTATAGCATTTACTTAAGTCTTGTTTGCCTTTTGGCTCTCTTGAATTTGGCTGGAAAGAAAAGGCTTTGGGATGGCCTAACAGTAGTTCTTTGTACTGTTTCTGGGGAGACCCAGGTTCACTTCACTGACCTGGTATAAGTCTTGTACTCTGGCCCCCAAGGAGCTCAATCTATCTAGTCCTCTCTGACCTTCAGGATAGTGGCTGCAATATAGGATTTCAAAGGTGGTAAGTGTAAAACAGGGCCTAAGGAAGTAAAGTGCATCTCCAGCCCTTACTTCCTTGTTTCTTTTATAGCAGTGATTCTCAAAGAGGGTGCTGTGAGATTGTGTTAAAGTTGCCACCAGAAGCCACACAATATTAGCACTGTTAGGTGTGCAAACACCTACACCTGATTCACAAGATAAATCCTGAGATTTCAAATAGGAATCCATAATGTCAAAAATATTTCTGACCTGTTGTGGTCTAAGTTCTTTGCAACAGAATAATTTCTCTGTTATTTTTCCATAGTCTGAAAATGAGTGGAGGCTAAGAGCTAGCAGTTTCTTAGAGGTACCTTATGTCTAATGAGGAGTGCCTGGAGTCTAAAACAGCTGAGAACTAGGGGTATGCGAAGTGGGCCTCATTTGATTCGGATTTGCCCTGAATCAGGGACAATGATTCAATTTGTTGATTCAGATCACTGTCCCCAATTCGATTTGGCCGAATCCGAAGATCTGGAGAATCAGCGATTTGGCCATAGACACATCTTAAAATGCTTTTTTCTACATACGTCGAGGTACCAGGTGCAGCTCATGAACGCTGTGATGCTGGGGCAGCTGGAATATCCCACAGGAGTGCGAGGGGCTCCCCGTGTGGTTGGCGGCAAACCCAGAAGTGGACCAGAAGTACACTTCCGGGTCTACTGCTGAGTGCACTGGGCCCCACCCCCATGCCCCTCTGGCTCAGTGATCATCCATGGGGGGACCCTGGGTGCCCTCCCAGACCCAAGAAGCACCAGTTGCCGGGCTGGGGGGGAGGGTGGGGAGCCCCCCCAGTGCACTCCCTGGCAGACCCAGAACTGGACTGGAAGTGCTTCTGGTCCACTTCCAGGTCTGCTGCCAAGTGTGTTGGGGAGCCCCCTGTACTCCTGTGGGACACTCCATGTGCCCCAGCATGTCAGCATTCACAAGCTGCCTGGTACCTTGAGGTATGTAGAAAAACCATTTAAAGCTATGTCTACGTCCAAATCGTTGAATTCTTCCAAATCTCTCCAAATCAATTCAGAGGGTTTTGATTTAATTCAGAGAGATTAAATGGTCTCCTGATTTGATTCGGATTTGGAGATTTGGCCACTGAATTGGGCCAAATCCTGGCCGAATCGAATCAGGGACCGAAGCTTTGCACAGCCCCACTGAGAACCACTGCTTTATTTCTTTGATACAAATTATGAGATGACAAAATGCATCAGACGAAAAGGTAAAGGGCATAATAACTTCTTTGTCAAATGTGATGTCAAAATTCTAAAACTTTTGACAGTTTTATTAAATAAATTCCTTTTAAATTCCTTTTAATTTAGCATACACAAGCAATTCCATTTGTGCTGCCTATTGTTGTTTTAATTCATAGGAATGAAACAGCCCATTCTGGCTTGAGTTCCAAATAAGCAATTGCATTTGTTTCTAAACTTCCTCAGAAAAGAAAATACTTCTGTTTGTGGAATTCAAGGAGCCAGCAGACACCTCTGTTCATACTTAGTGCAATGTTACCACCTACCATGTAAATTCTCCTTTGCTGTTTTGCCAGTATAAGTAAGGGTACATTAAGGGAAACACCCAGATGAGTGCTATTTCATCTTTGTTAGTTTAGTCTGTGGTCTCCCCTCATCAGATAATTACAATTTTCCATAATATGCTGAATGTCATAAAGTATGGTGGTTTTGTGGTATCAACGGCTGTCCAATAAGAACCAAATTAAGACTATCATGTATCATAGAAACTCAGTTGAACTAATTCTGCTATTTCAAGGTGAGAGAGCAGTACTTTAGCCACCAAATTATACATTTTCTTTGGACATTTGCCACGTGTCTAGCTGATTCAAAGCCAAAGGCTTAAATAGCAGAAAAACCATGGCAATTTTCACACCATTTTCCAAGGAAAGAGCACCAGAGGCTGCCCCAGGGGGAAGCAGAAACAACCTCATTGTGCAATTATTTATTCCTATTTTATATTTGATGTGTTGGTTTCTCCTCCCATTATCTGTCCAGCAGTTTAAAGTCTGTTGTTTACACAGCTGTGACTGAGGGATAGTCAAACAGGCGTCATGAATGTTTGGAAACCGAATGAGACACAAATCCTTAAAAAAGAAATTTACAAAGACCAGTCTGTGTCTACAAGTTTGTAACTTCTCTTTCATATTATTAACCTTTTAGTAAACAGATTATATTTTGTAATATTTTGCTGTAACTTTTACTTGGGAGAAATGTTACTAATTAGTTATTTACTTTTTTCATGATGTTGGTCTCCTCTGTTTCATTGTTACTAAATTAAATACTTAGGTCTACTAAGGACTTTTAGGATAACATGGTAATTGATCTAATTGCTAATGTGTTTGGTACCATACTGTTACAGAATTGCTGTGCTATACAATGCTTGCCAAATGCCGGATGTAGGAACTCAGATACCGAATATACTTTTGAAAATCTCCTGATTTGATGCATGCTTGGCAAGGTAATGGTGCCTCTCTCTTACGCACATCTAGAAGTTGTGTGCAAATCAAGAATTTGCGCACGTGCGTCTAGAAATGTACAAACAAAATAGAAATGTCTGGGTAAGAACATACATTTTCTCAAAAATATCTGGTAGTCATTACAATATTTAAGGTATTCTATAAAAATTATAACATTTAAAATTTGGTTTTGGATGAAAACTCATTCTAGTGCCCAGAAACTAATAGTATACAGCCCAGAAATCTCTTCTTGCCTCTCTTAAGAAGTCTAGCTTTCCAACATTGTTAGCAATATATATTTTCTAGCCTTGAAAATTCACAAGGTTTTGGATCATGCGTTTATCATGTCTTCTTTGGCAAAGTTACAGTTATATTGGACTGATCCAATTAGTTACTCCAGATGTCAAAACTGCAATTCTTATTTTTTACCCAAGGAAAAAAATAATTTAGTTTATGTAAAATGCTAGATAAAAACAGACTTTAAAAATATAATATTATATATTACTGTCTTTGGAATCTGTACCAATAGGTGTACATATTGGGACTTCAGGTTCACAGAAGAACACATTTTCTTTTCTGACCATCAGTAATTATAACAAGTTGATGGATATTAATTATACAAACAAAATGTTGAATATGGAATACAGGTACACATAAGAACCTCTATATAACTTGTAAAAGGATACACAAGTAAGTTAATAATAAAAAA